CTTCTTGCAATTTTATGCTTTTCGTCAAAAATACAATTGCATGCAGTTTATCAAAAATTGCAAGTTTATGAATTTTTCTTCTTGCAATTTTATGCATTGTTATTCAAATATACTTTATGCTATTTTTTCAAATATGCTATATTTTAAATTTTTCCTCAAATATACGATTTATACGTTTTCCTTCAAATATGCAACTGTATCTAATTTTCTTCAAATGTGCAACTTTCTGATTTTCCAAATATGCAATTTGACTATCAAATAAGAAACTTTATTCACTTTTCGTCAAATATACAATTGCCTGCATTTTCTACAAATATACAATTTTATGAATGTTTCTTCAAATATGCAGTTTGATGCAGTTTTTCAAATATGAAACTTTATCCACTTTTCGTCAAAAATACAATTGCATGCAGTTTATAAAAAATTGCAAGTTTATGAATTTTTCTTCTCGCAATTTTGTGCATTGTTATTCAAATATAGTTTATGCTATTTTTTCAAATATGCTATATTTTAATTTTTTCCTCAAATATGCAACTATATGCAATTTTCTTCAAATATGCAACTTTATGAATTTTACAAATATGCTATATTTTAAATTTTTCCTCAAATATGCAACTTTATGCGTTTGTTTCAAATATGCAATATTTGAAATTTGTCCTCAACTATACAACTTTATGCAATTTTCTTCAAATATCCAACTTTATGATTTTTTCAAATATGCAATTTTATGAATCTTTCCCCAAATATGCAATATTATGCACTGTTTATTAAACATGCAACTTTACAATTGATGTGTTTAGTGAGACCTCCCGAAGCAACGTTCCCTGTGCTATTGTACAGTGGTCAAAATTGGCCTCTACAAGCTTTTGGGCCTTCGTAAAGAGAGACCAAACTGTGGACTTATATAATATCCACTGTTGTTGCCTTTTTTTTTTATTCCTTATGGCGTTTGTATGAAAACATTATACGTGAAAATATTTTTAAAAGCTTGTAGGACGGATCGCGAATCAGTTATAGATGGCAAGCAGCTCAAGAAAAAAAACTGTTTCACAAATAAACGATCCTAAAATGACGTCAGTACCCGACGTTTTATTATGATATAATTAGTTTCGTTTTGATTTTAAATTCCTTATTTATTACTTGGCATAGAAAAAACCGGATTTAGTAGATCCAGTTCTTATTAATTTTGAATAATATTATTTATTTTTTCTTTATCGTATTAATTATTTTTGAAATAGTATTGATTTATTCAAACATACCTAGTGGAAACTTTCTGCAATCGTTTTGCGAATCGTAAGTTGTTTATAATTTTCTAGTGACCAGATGATTAATGACGGCCTGACCAAGCGTGCGGCCCAACTGGTAAATGCATCATAAATATATGTGATATATTTTGGTATATTTTCAGGAGTAGAACGAGCCATTCATCAATCGTTCGATGAAGGAATATGCAGATGCATGTCTCGTTTGAATCATAATGGATCTGAGTGTCGAAACAAGCGAAAATCGGTTGAAGAGATTTATATGGTCAGGGCATTATCGGACATGCGGATTTACAGAAATGTGCAAATCGGACGTCTCTATTCAAATTAACATTCGAAAAGTACTCAGTTGGTTCTGATCATCTGATAAGCAAAGACAAGATTGTTATGACCTCGTTTAACACGCCATCTTCGCTGCGTTACGAACTAAATAAAAAGACTTCTTCCCAAGTTGAAGTTGAACAACAAAGTAATAAATTAAAACTGGATGGTTGATTTTATATATATATATGTATAAATGAATTAAAGACAACAGAGTTGAAATTTCATCCAATGAAAAATTATGAAATGAGCTGAAAACTTGACTTTTCTAGTTTTCTCGTTTGTGGATTTCCAGACTGGAGACGACCACTTTCATTAATTTTGCAAGAATGTCAGCGAGGCCTTGTCAAAAGCATCGCGAAAACAAGAATGTTCACCGTTCCAAGCTCCTGGATTCGCTGGGGCAATTGGAGCAACAGGATCATCTAGGTCAGATAAAGCAGGACTTACTACTTACTAGGAAAACATGCTTGACCAAAATGACAGCATTATGCAATTTGTTTAAAGATTACGTTCTCTTCCTACCTGAGATTTAAAAAAAAACTGTAATCGATTTAAAAACGAACTCAATAAACATTGTTACTCAGGAAAAATATTAAGAATATGCTATACAATTTTCACTAATTTCAAAGAATTTCTTGTCTACAGTCTAATTAAAATGTATCTCTCAGTATTTTCATCCTGCACAAGGAATATACAATATAATGGAAATATACAATAATATTCTTATCAACCTTGAACGCCTCCGCTTGGTCTCGCTAAACGTTTTAAGATATTTTCAAAACGTCATACAACTCCCCTTTCACCTGAATTAACCTAATTTGAAATTGTGTGACCGCCCAATAATATATTTAAATTGAATAGGCGAATTAAATGTTCCTAGGACCGGTTTTATTCGCAGTACATTTTTTATGCGTTGCGTACTGATTTGACAAATACCCTACAGATTTTATCACATAAATAAATATCCAAGTTTATGTTCTGCTGAACAGTTTAACTTATAAAAAAGACAATTTAAGGTTACACGAAAACAAAAAATTACCGGAGGAACGAATTGGTTAGAAATTTAATTCAATTTTCATCAAATGTCCAATTTAATAATGCATTTTTCTTCAAAGACACAATTTTTTTCTATTTTCTTCAAATATAAGATTTTATTAATTTTCTCAAGTATGAAATGTTATGTAATTTTCTTAAAATTTGAAATTTTATGAATTTTTCTTCAAATATACTATTTAATGCACTATTCTTCAAATTTTCTTCAAATATGCAATATTTAGATAAGCAGCTTTACTCAATTTACTTTCAAATGTGCATTTTTATGCAATTTCTTCAAACAGGCTGTTTTACTTCTCTTTTCAAATGTGCAATTTTATCCACTTTTTAAATATGCAACATTAGGCTCTATTTTTACGTATGTAATTTTTTTCAAATAAGGAACTGTATTCAATTTTTGTCAAATATGTAACTTTATGCAATTTTTTCAAATATGAAAATATTTTAGACAGGCAATTCTAGGCAATTTTGCACAAAATTGCGAGAAGAAAAATTCATAAACTTGCAATTTTTTATAAACTGCATGCAATTGTATTTTTGACGAAAAGTGGATAAAGTTTCATATTTGAAAAACTGCATCAAACTGCATATTTGAAGAAACATTCATAAAATTGTATATTTGTAGAAAATGCAGGCAATTGTATATTTGACGAAAAGTGAATAAAGTTTCTTATTTGATAGTCAAATTGCATATTTGGAAAATCAGAAAGTTGCACATTTGAAGAAAATTAGATACAGTTGCATATTTGAAGGAAAACGTATAAATCGTATATTTGAGGAAAAATTTAAAATATAGCATATTTGAAAAAATAGCATAAAGTATATTTGAATAACAATGCATAAAATTGCAAGAAGAAAAATTCATAAACTTGCAATTTTTGATAAACTGCATGCAATTGTATTTTTGACGAAAAGCATAAAATTGCAAGAAGAAAAATTCATAAAGTTTCATATTTGAAAAACTGCATCAAACTGCATATTTAGAAGAAAAATTCATAAACTTGCAATTTTTGATAAACTGCATGCAATTGTATTTTTGACGAAAAGCATAAAATTGCAAGAAGAAAAATTCATAAAGTTTCATATTTGAAAAACTGCATCAAACTGCATATTTGTAGAAACATTCATAAAATTGTATATTTGAACAAAATGCAGGCAATTGTATATTTGACGAAAAGTGAATAAAGTTTCATATTTGATACTCAAATTGCGTATTTGGAAAATCATAAAGTTGCACATTTGAAGAAAATTACATACAGTTGCATATTTGAAGGAAAACATATGAATCGTACATTTGAGGAAAAATGTATAAAATAGCATATTTAAAAGATCCCATAAAGGTTTTTGCATATTGGAGGAAAAATGCATAAAATTCCATATTTATGAAAAAATCATAAACTTGCATGTTTTTAGAAAACGCATGCAATTGCATATTTAACTACAAGTGAATAAAGTTTCATATTTGAAAAACAATGCATAAAATTGCTTATTTGTCGAAAATGACATAAAAATGGTTATTTAAAGAAAATTGTCTAAACCTGCCTATCTAAAATTTTTGCATGTTTAAACAAAATACATATTTGATGAAAAATTTATAAATCGCATATTTGAGGAAAGATTCATAAAATTGCATATTTGGAAAATCATAAAGTTGCAAATTTGAAAAAAATTACGGATCCGGAATTGTACAAATGACTGGAAAGATTTTGGTATAATTGCATCCCACCAAATGGCAGTAGTTAAAACACATTATTTGACTGTTAAGTACATACATCCATACCTTGAAAATATGGATTCGAAACTATTTCAGCCCGTAGAATTATTTAAATGCCAGATTTAATGACCCGGATGCCAAGAATACTAATTTACTGCTAACAATTATAGTTTCAACTAGTAATAATCGCATCTCTGTAAAACTTCATTGATTACGATATTGCCACTACGCAAGGTTACTTTGAGAAGGTACTTTGCGAATTATGTAACCTGAAATTATTTCAAGCCATTCATTGTACTTCTTTGTCAAGAATACATATTTACAAGCCTATATCATATAATTAATGACTTGGCAGTTTTCCAGGCAAGATGGCTCAAGCGTACGCAACAAACCAGCGAGATTGGGCGGCCCGGATCAGGGACGACCGGACGGAGGACCAGTATGATTGTCACCAATTAATGGTACATTGCTCCATAAGAAATTCAAACCAATTGCTGCAGGGATTACTTTTCGGATTACTGAAAAAAATCGGATTACAGAAGATGTAAAAAAAGGCTTACATTTTTAAAAAATTTATTTCAGTTTTTGTTCAATGTTTTTACCTCTTTTTCAGTCGTTTTTAAGCAGCAAGCATATTTATCGACAAATTTCTTTTTTATTTTTATTTTTTAGCAACGAAGGAAGATGAGGCATTCACTTAACAAAAATTCGTGTAGTGTAAGCTGGTCTTGCTTTTTCTATGACTACATTCATTTACTCTCACTCATTCACTAACTCACTCATTCTCTCTCACACTTATTCACTCTCTCTCTCTCTCTTACGCTCGCTCATTCTTATTTTTAGTCACTCACATACGTCCTCATTCACTTTCACTCAGTTAAGCATCCTCTATTTCTGTATCCCCCTCTCTCACTTTCTCTTTCTCTCTCACTCATTCACTCTCCCTTAATCACTCAGTTTCACTCACTCTTTCTCACTCTCTATCTATCCATTACTCCACTCACACTTGCTCACTCTCTCTCTCTCTCTCTCTTACAATCTCTCCAGTGCTCATCCTTATTTTCACTCACTCATTCACTCACTATTTTTACTTACTCACTTTCACTCCTTCTCTCTCCCTCTTCCTCACCATCCCTAATTCACTCTCTCTCTCTCTCTCTCTCTCTCTCTCTCTCTCTCTCTTTCTCTCTCTTATCTACCTATTTATTTATCTATCTCTATATCAATCTTACTCACACTTACTCACTCTCTCTCTCTCTCTCTCTCTCTCTCTCTCTCTTTTAGCTAACTCACTCGCTCTTTCTCTCTCTCTTCCCCTCTCTGTTTCTCACTTCCTCACTCACTCTCTCTATTTCTATCTCACTCACTCTGTCTATTACACTTGCACTCGCTTACTCACTTTCACTTCTTCTCTCTCTCGTTCCCTCTTTCTCTTTATCCCCCTCACTCTCTTTCACCCCTCTCTCTCTTTATCACTCACTCTCTCTCTATCTCTATCTCTCTCTCTCTCTCTCTCTCTCTCTCTCTCTCTCTCTCTCTCTCTCTGTCTATTACTTTACACCCACTTACTCACTTTCACTCCTTCTCTCTCTTTCTCACTCACTCTGTCTATTACTTTACACTCACTTTCACTTCTTCTCACTCCCTCTTTCTCTTTATCCCTCTCTCTCTCTCTCTCTCCCTCTCTCTCTTTTTCTCACTCACTCACTCACTCACTCCCTTTCACTCTGTCTATTACTCTTGCACTCGCTTACTCACTTTCACTCCTTCTCTCTCTCTCTCTCACACACTCTCTCTCTATCTCTCTCTCTCTCTCTCTCTCTCTCTCTCTCTGGTTCTCTCTCCCTTTTTCCCTTCCAAATAATGTCTCATTTCTTTTTCATTAAAATTCTCACTATGGAGCACTGTACTTTGTTAAATGGAAGGATGAATTGCACAAATACTGATTAAAAACAAGACTGTTATCGTCGTTATTATTATTGTGAGATATTCCTTTTACATTAGCCGTGGTGGCTATTGAGATTATCACAATAATGATTTAAGTGGATACAAAGTAAGTATTTGCAGTTTATTGTTTTCATATATTTTTTAAATATTTCAGTTTATAAAGTTCATATATTACTATCTAAAGAACCTTCTGACACGGTAGCAGTACTATAGTGAATTGGCTTTTATTAAAATGTGTTACTTATCTGCCTACATATCTATATGTTTTCCTAATAATCTCAATCAAGATTTTTTGTAATCAAGATTGTGTAGAAGAAACCATAAAGGCAAAATAAGTATCACGAAACAATTCTATTCAGCCAAGTGATGTAGTTAATTTAGCTTTTCATTTGCCACTTATAACTGACTTTGTAAGAAATTAAACAAGATAAGAAAAACTGTTTGAATTTATTATTACTATTTTGTGCTTAATTTATTTAATTTTTTTTTATATACCAGCTCTTTAGTCTTCTTGTCATTACGAACTAAGATGGAAAGTAAAAAATGTACAAACAGGCGGATGCAGTACACAAATTATTTTAAGGAAAGAGTTTTGCGTAGTCGTAATTCAAGAGGAAGTTCATAACATTTAGTCCCTGGGGAGCACACGAACCGTGGAAAAAAGGATTTCGACCATTTCCGGAGATAAAGACGCATAAACTTAATGGAATGAGTAATCATCACCTTGATACATATTTTTTCAAAATGGAACAAAAAAAAAGTTTTTCAAATGGAAAAAAAATCTTAGCCTAAAGGTAATAGCACTTTTTGAAGAAACAATGTAACACTCACTGAACCCTGAGGGACTCCATTCTCTTAAACTAAGTAACCGGACAGCACGGACTCTAACTTGGCTAGGAATCTTCTGTTATAAAAATCCTAGCAACTCCCCAGTATTATAGGCTTTTTCAAGTTCAAAGAAACCTAAAATGACTATACACTTGAGTCATAAGACAATATTGACATATGGGTCGGTGGTGTGGTGGAGCAAGACTCTGCAGGCAAGACCCAAAGATAAGTTGGTCTCAGTGTCACTGGAGCCATGAGCAAAACGGCGACCCTGAAGGTGTTAAACCTCCCACCACTTCATATCTTAATCCAAGGAGAAGCCAAAGCAGCAGCCCACAGGCTTATACACAACCATCTGCAAGGATAGGCCATGTAAACAAACAATGGAACTTGAGGGTGGAGTAGGCTGATTCCATATTAGGCATGCCAATTAAAGCCACTACTCCAGAATACAATTTTACTAAAAAGGACAAGGTACTGATACCAGAACGGGAAGAAAGAGCCAAAGGAACACCGCTAAAGACAAACTCCTACTGGTACATTGGGGCTCCTAAACCTACAAGAGTACGGAGTATAAGTCTTCGGGATGAATCTAAAGACCAAACTAACGGTAAACCTAGATAAATATGCTTCAGTTTTCCAGCCTGAAATCATAGCGATTAAACGCTGCGCCAGGGAAATAGACTAGGAATACATTCTCGGAAGATAGCCATCATCTCTGGCAGTCTGGCAGCACTAAAGGCATCATGCGAGGTGAAGGCAAAGAGCGTTTGGAACAGCATGGAGGCCCTGACGGAAGTCAGCGACAGTAATGACCAGATCCTGGCATGGGTCCCTGAGCATCCGGGACGTAGAGGCAACAAAAAGGTTGTCATGTGAGCCAAAGAGGGGGGCCAACATGGACTCTCTAGGTCTTGAACCCTACTGTGGCTTAGCATCCTGCCACAAAAGAGGATACATCCTAAAATGGATCCTTATTGAGTCCAAAACCAGGAGGAACAATACGGGAAAAGATTCTTAGAAGGGCCATCCGCCAAATTTACAAAGAATTACTGGACGGCAACCTCAACCAAACCAGGGGATTCTGGCTGAACTCCTGACAGGACATTGCCACTTAAGAAAGCACATGCACCGGACAGGAGTACTGACAGAATAAACATTGAGCAAATATTGCCAGGAAGGGGAGGAGACCGCAGAACACATTTTATGTTTTTGTGAAGGTCTTGTAGAATCTTGTAAGTAGGACAGGAAAAGCCACAAGCAACATCCTACACTAAGAAGCTGCTGGCAAGCTTTTAAAGGTTGATAAACAACCTGAAGCTGGCTAGTGAGTAAAAAAAAAAACAGTGGAGCACAATAGATATACTCAGGTCGAGGTGCAGAAGGCATTGGGGCCGCCTCTTTTAGCCCTATCCCTATCTAGTTCAAAGATAGCCAGAGAAACGTATTCCGAATCACTTTTGATGAAACAATCATGATCAAATTACCCCACCTGATATTGCCTTACCACTACCTATTTGCTCAAGACCGTCAGTCGATCGTTTATCAAGGTCTGTTCAAGGAAACAGACAAGTACCTCCTCAAAGATAAGAACGATAAATGCTTTAGCCAACTGTAAGGGCAACCTTTATACCAAATATTGTGGAAAAACTGCAGCGTCCTGTTATACACTTTGCTCTAATAACCGTCAAAATTAATCTAGTCTAGTCTTGGGTTTTGTCTTTTCAAAGCGGTGAAAGTTGCTCCAAAATTAATTTATTATAATAATGAAATTATTAGTAATGTACGTGTGTTGGTGGCCATAATTTTCTTTTAACATGTCTACTTAGTTCTTATTGCTATTGCTGATACTGATGTCTCTGGTTCCTGCTGAAAGGGTCGGCATGTTTCTCCTTTAGATGATAGTGAGGGCAGTGGCAGGTATAGAGGCCTATAATTTTTCTTAAATTCTGTCTGCTGAGAGAGTGGAGTTCTTTTGCCTTCCGTTATGAGTTTATAAATCTCTTATCTTGCCTCATATCTGGCGTGTTTGTCCAGTGCTTGAATTTTTTGTTAGTAAGCCATTTTTCTAATTCCAACTTAAGCACATACATAAGGGCTGCCCATTTTTAACTAGTCGGTCAGCTTATTCATTTTCTTCTATGACTTATCCACTTTATGGTAATCTTGTTTTCTTTTCCCAGTCATTTGTATGGTATGGTAAAAAGGATACTAGGAAGCGGGGTTTGCGCTCCCCAGCCACTGCAGCCTTTTGGCTTACTATACCCTCCTAGTTCCTTAGTTCAGTGCAATAAACTCAATCCTTCTCCTTACAAGTATAAGGTCATTGACTGTCGCTGCTGCAATTTGATTCCCTATGTTTTTTGTGTATGTTAGGTTAAATCTCCATTGAGCTGTTGATTCACATTCCAAGATGATATGAGTGGCTGTTTTCTCCTCTTCATTACATAATCTGCAAATGGGATCATCGTTGTACATACCCATGTTGTGTAGATGTTTTCTCAGATGCCAGTGACCGGTTAGTAGTCCTACCACTCCTCTGAGTCATTAGTCAAATTAGCGCCTTTATGTCTCTCTGAGAGTATGTAATCTGTGCATCCTTTAATATTTTCTTTATTAACTTCTGTACATATGTGCCAATGTCTCTGGTTCATCTTGACATAGTCAGCATTTTTCTGTCTCTGCTCTGCCCATCTTATTTAGATGATTGTGAGGGCGGGGCAGGTATAACCAAGGCCTATAATTCTTCCCAAATCCTGTCTGCTGAAAGAATGGAGTTCTTACGTCTTCCTTTGCGAGAGATTTATGAATTTCTTAGCTTGCCATATTTCTGGTGCGTTTATCCAGTGCTTGAGTTTTTCTTTCGTGTGTACCTAGTCGTGCTTCTGGTCCCGTAGGTGAGAGGGCTGCCCGTTTTTAACTAGTTAGCCTATTCATTTGCTGCTATAATTTCATGTCCGGGATCCCACTTTAAGGTAATCTTGTTTTGTTTTCCCAGAGTCATAAGTCAAATTAATGCCTTTATGGCTGTCTGAGAGTATGAAAATCTGTGGACATTTCATATTTTTCTTTATTATCCTGCATAAAGAGTTTTATCGTATAGACTTCAGCTTGGAAAATTTTTTGGGTTTGTCCAAGGGTGTAGTTCGGCCCTTAGATCCCTACACCTTCTCCATGTTTGATCCATCTGTGTACAATATTAGGGTCTCTTTGCCGATTTGTTACTTACAGTATTTATAGCGCAATAAAAACATACACCTAGGCCACTTCTATTCACCGTATATGCTAAATTACGTCTGAAGATGAACAGATAAGAACTATGAAGGTCAGTGGGATAAGCCAAGCGCAAAAAGCAGAACATTGTCAAAAGAAAAGTATTAGGACCTGATCTGCAGGTCATTATTATGTTTTTAGGTTTTTAGGGGAAAGATTTTTGATCCTTCGTACTTTCACAATTTTATCGATTTTTTTCTCACTCTGTCTTCTCTGTAACTTTTCTTGTTTACTAAGGAGGCAATGTTTTACTTACGCAAATGCTACACTAAAAATTAATTCTCAGAATGGATTTTCACATAGAGGACGGTTTATTCTTACAGGTAAAATGAAGAAGGTGGATAAGAATAGGCCGTGTCGCAAAAGCAACCCTATTGTTTCCTCCTTTTACCCGAACACGATGAACAAATATTTTTTCCAAATACAGTTTTGGATTGTAACGGATTGCCTTATAGTTATTTGCGCCATTCTCGAAGTTGCATCCACCCCTTACGAAATCAATATTGCAAGTAAAGAGGTTTTCCGTATTTTATCCTAATCGTGCTTATCTAGTGGCCAAACCCTCGAGACCCCGACTCCTCCGTGAAGATTTCAATGACTGTTGTGACCATATTGAAAAATAATGGGCCGAGTTGAAGCTATCCTTCCTAAATCACATTGCACAAATAACACTTTCTCTAACTTTTGTGCTACTTATATACCGAATGCTTGAACTGACCCGCAGGAAAAACAATTAGTGAAAAGTAAGTACGAGTTTTACTTCCATTGTCAAAAATTGGCCCATTTTTTCGAATCATTACGTCTCTGTAACTATTATGATTATTAGATTTTTCTCTAAGTTGTCAAGATATTATGCTTTGTTTTTAATTATATGAAAAAAAGGGAATTTAGACGATTAAGAAAAGATTAAGATAAGCCACTAAAGAGTCTGCAATTTCAAGAAATGTCAAACCTATGATACTAACAACATAAAATAGCTTTTATCGAGACTATATTTTAATATATTTTTAATTTGTCTTTAAAAAAACATTATGTTCATATGTTTTTTGAACTCGAAATGCATACAATCATGTAGAAAAGTGCTGATGACAAAAGTGACCAAATTTCTTATCAGCAGACGAAAGTTTAATGTGAAAACATGAATACACATACCTCATAGTAATGTAAATATGTAGGATAAAACCTTGTCCAATTTTTCAAGAGATAACAATTTTATTACATACCACTATACTGCAACGGAGTTCGTTTATTATCCATAAATTTTAGTATTCCATAATTTCCTGTATCCAACAGAACATGCAGAACTTATTGTTCTAGTAAAGTTAAGTAAAATTAAATTTAAAATAAACCTTTTTGTTAATATTTTTTTTAATAATGATTTATTTTTCTCAAAAGGACGATCGAAAACCACCGACTTTATATTTGAAAACTACATTTTGGATTACTTCGAAAAAAAAGGAAACCAAGTAGATGTGATTCATAATTATTATTCTTTGACAAGGTGAAACATACATTTCTTTAATCAAAAATATGATTTGGGCTATATACACATTTTTTAGTGATGGTTTTAGCATCATCGATTGAGGAGTGCATGGAAGTTGGGTTAGGTTAGGTAAGGTTCAAGGTTAGAGTTAACTGCTTTCAATTAATTAATCTTTTTATGTAAGGTTTTGGTTGAGAGGAAAAATTTAGTGTCACTAGCGGGATTCGAACCCACGACCTTCGGTTCAATACGCCGCTGTTCTAACCAATTGAGCTATCGTGACTTCGATCCACTCGGACACTAACTCCCCATCTCAACCTACCTTTCGAATCTTCCCTCCTTTTTGCCATTTTCCAAATGTGTTGGTGACCGAGCGGATCGAAGTCACGATAGCTCAAGTGGTTAGAGCAGCGGCATACAGAGCCGAAGGTAGTGGGTTCGAATCCCGCACGTGACACTAATTTTTTCATTTCAACCAATACCTTACATAAAAAGATTAATTAATTGAAAGAAGTTATTTGGTCAATCGGTCCAAGAAATATAATGGAGTTAGAGTTAACTTAAGTTAGCTTCCCCCCCATAAGGAGTCTTTGGGATTACTCCCTTTAGCACTTAAAATTTCGTATATCGTATCCAATCTCTGCTGATGGATTTCCTGGAATATTTTAAAGATTTGGAAGATTCTGTATAGCTTAGGAATGCTTTTTCCAGCCAGAGTTTCTTTCTAGCTTTGCATATAGTTGAAATCGATATCGAGTCGACTCTTTCCCTTCAAGACATAATCGACATTGGTCATATGATGACAGTCTCATTTTTTTAGAGGTACTCATGTCCTGGAAACGTACCAATTATAGGTTTTAATTACGTTCTGTTGAGTAGGATTCCTCTTTCTCTCATTTAGTTTAAGTTTTTATTGTACTGTTGGCTAACGGGGCTACTTATGAAATTTATTTGTAGTTACATGTGTTACAGATTAAAATCCATTAAAATAGATTTTTTTTTGTCCCATGAAGGCGGATTATGGCGAACCTCAAGGCTTCCATATGAACTCTTATTATTTTCCTTATAAATTATTTTCACTATTCTTTGATGGACTGCTTCTTTTGTTTGCTAATGATT